TAAAATTTTAATGTCTAGTGTGATCTTGATTTTTATGTTAAGTTTAACATTTTAATCTCATATCGAGATATGTTAAATATTTGTTACGGTTTATGTAAAGATTTAAACACATATTTATGAGATGTTTTTTGTGAGAGAAAATCATAAAATTTTCGAATCAAAATAGATAATAATTCTCAAATTGAATGAGTGTCACAACACACAATGTTGTTAGAAGTTAGTTTTTGTCATTTAATAAGAAAAAAGGCTTATTACGTAAATTATTTTCATATAATTAGTGGCATTGTTAATATTTTAAAAATAATTTAATTATTTGAAATTTAAAATCAAGTATTTTTATTTTTCACTAGAAAAATAACTTGGCTTCGCCTAGGTTGCAAATACTTTCGTTTTGATGAAACATAATTTTTTAATTGTTTAATTTAATAATAAATGAAAAAATTAAATATTTTTTTAGTATTTTGTTGGTTTTTTATTTTTAAAAAATATAATCTCTTGAAAAAAAAAATAAAAACTAATACTCTAATTGTGTCACTCAAATTAAATTGTGTAGGTGTTAGCTTCTATTTTAAATAAGGAAGACTACTTTAAAAAAATTAAATTCAAACCCAATAATGCATATATGATAATCCGATCGATTGATACAATATTTATTTATTACCAATATTGATCAATTATCAAATTCAAAACCCATTTACCAATGTAACCAAAGGTCATTAATATCATCACCCATTCAGCTTAATTTTTTAAAGAAAAAAATCAATAATTTTACTATGGTAGGAAAGGCGTTATAAAAATTTTAGCCAATGATAATAAGTGGGCATTTTCATAATTATGACTATTGGAGCATTATAGTATCTTTGACCAATTATAGTAGGAAGGTATTTCAATAATTATGATAGGAGGGATATTTAGTAATTTTAGTTGAGTATAGAAGGAAGAGTATTATAGTTAATTTTGACATGTGTTGTTCAATTGTCAAGTAATTAGAAAAGTATTATAATCATTTCCAAGGGAATAACTTTCATATTATTGTATAAATATTAAAATTTAATATGTAATTTGTAGCAATACTAAAAGGCCATTTTCATAATTATGGTAAAAGGGTATTATAGTAAATTTGATCAATTATAGTATTAGGGATATTTTTGTAATAATGATAAGAAGGGTATTATAATAATTTTGAAAATTTTTGGTAAGAGAGTTATTTTCATAATTATGGTAGTAAAGGTGTCAGTAATTTTACCTAATTATACTATGAGGGGTATTATTGTAATTTCATCTATTTTATGGTGAGAGGGACATTTATATAATTATGTTAAAGAATATTATAATTATTTAGGACACATGTCAATTTTTAATCAAAGAAAGCATTTTGATAATCTCAATGAGACTAGTAATTTAATACGTAATTAATTTTATATTATGTTAAAATTTAATATATGTAATTTAACAAGAGTATTATGGCAATTTTCAAATAAAATTCTACATGTCAAATTTTTTTGAAACGATGATAAGAGTATTTTAATAATTTAATATATAATTAATTTTATATTATTATGTTAAAATTTAATACGTAAATTAAATGAGATATTATAGTAATTTTCAAACAAAATAGTACATGTCAATTTGTTATAAAGTAATCATAAAAACATTTTTATAATTATGATAAAGAGCATTATAGTTATTTTTACCAAATTTGGTAAGATTATATTTTTGTAATTATGATAAGATATTATAATAATTTGATCAATCATGATAATATAGACATTTTGTAATTATAATAAGAAAGATATTATAGTAATTTTAATTAATTATAAAAGAACGATATCTTAATAATTTTGACATAAGGGTATTAGAGTAATTCATCATTTATAGGAGGGATATTTTCATCATTTAAGGCATAAAGGGCGTTATAATGATTTAAAATTTATAAGAGGGATATTTTTATCATATAAGAAAGAATGGGTATTATAATAATTTTTCATTTAAAAGAAGAAATTACTATCTATATATAGTATAGATATAATAAAAGTTAAACAAATAATTAAAAGTTTTAATTCAATATTTTATTTTCATCCATAAATGATTAAATTTATATAAAAAAATAATAATAATAAAATGGTAAAATTATATAAAACAAGAAAAATGGTAAATATAAAACTCTCAAGAGTTATAATTTTGATTTTTTTTGTCTAAATTCATTGGTTTTGTTAGATTAGAAAGGGCAAAATTGGGATTAAGGGAAGGAGAAAGGAGAAAGGAAAACAAAGAGATGGTCAAAAAATGGAAGTGGGTAGTTGATGAATCATTGTCGCGACCTAACAATTACACGTGGAGAAGAATATGGATGGAGTGAAAGGTCGAGAGACAATGTGCATATATAACTTGATATATATGGATTCTGACGTGACAGTCACATTCGCATTTTATCCTTTATTTTTTTTAAAAAAAAAAATGATCATGAAGTTATTAGATTTGGTATAGTTTCTTAATTCGTTGATTGACATATCTCTTTTTCTTTCATGCTTAACAACAAGGCGGTTTGCCAAACGAGGATGTGTTTTTTTTTTAGATTGTACTAGATTCCTAGTATTCTTTCATCTCAATACTCAATATCAAATTTTGATCGCACGATTAATCATAATTTGAAAGAAAATGAGAACAAAAAGACAATTAATTTCAAAATAAAGCAATTTCCGTAACCATATATAATATAGGTATGGTGCAAGTAATAATCTTGACTTTTATAAAAAAAAAAAAAAAAAACCTCAGAAAATAAATCTGTCTTTTTCTCGAAAGATTTTTATTTTTTAGCATTTATAATTTCCATATGTAATTGCTCATTGGTACCGTGAAAGTGCAAGTCTTCGCCTCAAAAACTAAAGAGAAAAAAAATTGAATTGCTTTGAATAAAATATCTTTGTAGGAGTTAATACTAATCACATGTTGAATTGCCGATATAAACTGAATTTAAGTTTAGTTTGTTTCATAAAAATTGGTTGTCAAAAATTATATTTTTGAAAAACTTTTATTTTTTTTAGAAAAATTAAAAATTTTCATTGTTTAAATCAGTCAATGAAAAATATTTTATGTTATTTGAGTATTTTTTGAAAAATTCCTTTTTTAATAATATTAACATAACTATTAAAATATTAAAAATTATTTATTTTTAAATTTATTGACTAATAAAATAATAAATGAAATGATTTTATAATTGGTAACAATAAATTTGTTGTGAAAAGTATAAAGAAATTTTATAAAATATTTTTATAATAATAATAGTCGTTGCTACAATTAATAAATTTGGTTGTGTTAAAAATTTTGCAACAAAAAAATTATAGTTAAAATTTTAAAAAATCATTATGAAAATAATTTTATCAACAACAATAGTTGATATGTACAACATTTTTTCAACGATTATAATTGTTAAAATTATTTAACGTAATGACAAAAATCTTGATATTAACGGAAAATGACAACTAAATAAGATTATATTACAAAATATTATAAGATATTAAAAATAATATTGTTACATAAAAGGTTTTGTAACCAAAATATAAGGTTGCTAAAATAAAGTTAAAACAATGAGATTAATTGTTCATGAAATATGAATGCAACTAAAATAATATTATTACGTAATAATTATTATAAATTTGCAACAATATAAATTTTTGCAACTACCATAATAATGTTATATAAATCTTTTTTGTAATCAAAATTTATTGTTGCTAAAATAAAGTTTAGACAATGACATTTTATCGTTGTGAAAACATGTTTTATATGGAAATAATTATAAGTCATTGTAATATGTATTTTTTTTAACAAAAATATAAATTATTGTGTTAACTATTTATTAACGGAGTTATTAACAACAACCTTGCAACTACAAAAAAATTTGTTTCAAAAAAATTTTAACAACAATAAATTATTATTTTGCAACGACTTTAATCGATGCAAAATATCCATTTTCTTATAGTGGTTCAAGAGGACGAGATGATTTTGAGAGTAATAAGTCCAAATCTGTTAGTTTATGTGAATTTTACTTTATTTATGCTTCATTTCATAATGAAAATTTTCCTCACCCATTATTTCATTATTTTTATCTCTGCTCAAACCATGGTGAACCATGCACTTGTAGGAAAATTATACTTCTTCATTGAATCAGAAATATGGTGAGGACTCATCTAATCATCCTGAGTTTAATCCGCAAGATTGGTGTGAAGTAATTGAAGGGTTGCAAACTATTTACCCCAATATGTATGGATTTGGAGTTAAGTCACACGCAATAGATATATTTCAACTATCATCGCTAGCATTATCCAGCTTGTGGTCCTAAGAACTTCAATCCCAGCAAAAATTCATCTATCGAATTTATTGATCTAAAATAAAGATGTGCAAGACCAAATCAAGAGTGCAGTGCAATCACGAGAGAAAATGAAGCAACCATAAGAGAAAATGAAGGTAGATTTGTTTCACATTTTTGCATAAAAAGCAAGATGCGCTTTTTTTTTTTTTTTTCAAATAAAAATGAAACATCGTTGTGCAGGAGAGAGAATCGCCGAAAGTATATAGCTCATCGTATCCATATATATATATATATATATATATATTTCAGAACATAATTTTCACAATAAAAAGAAACTGCATATCCATGGATGTTTATTTGTTTTTTTTACAAAAGACACTAAAAAAAAGAGATTACAGATATTAGGATTGAAATCCAAAAATAGATATTAAGATTTAAATCCTAAAACTACTAAATATCATTACTTAACAGTGACTGCATGAACGGAGTAAAGCTCCCGCTTCATACATGCTTATTTGTTACAACCCATTTACACTAGCTACCTTTACTAGTGGCACTCTGGCATGCACTAGAAAGATCCATGCATATATATTATATATAAACTGCTTAATTTGATGTTGGAGGCTTACGAGACGGCTTTTTAGGAGGTACTCTAGTTGCAGCCGATTTGTGTGAGCCTTCAACATCATTTTTAGGGAAGGTTTGGTGGTTTATGTGGTGGCTTGCCTCCGGGTGGTTTATGCTTTTGTAGGTTAGCACCCACGGTTTGTGAGCTTGGTGGTTTATGTGGTGGCTTGCCTCCGGGTGGTTTATGCGTTTGTAGGTTAGCATCCAGGGTTTGTGAGTTTGGCTCAACAGAAGTCTCCTCCACTGGAGGCTTGTGGGGAGGCTTATGGTGATCAGCAAATGATGGGGTGGTGAAGACCAGCACCCCAAAAAGAAGCAAAACCAGCAGGCTGGTTTTGAACTGCATTGTTTTGGATCTAAGCTAGAAGATGGTGCAAAAATATAATTGAGCCACGAAAATTTATAATGGATCACGGCTTGTAATTGAATGACAAGCGTCATTTGATGTATGGTGTACATTTGTTGCTTGTGGAAAATTGAAAAAGTAGCATTGAGTTTGTCTTATTATTTCAATAATTCATAAGCACTGCCATTTTTTAAATTTCACTCGGTGGGCATTTTGGACTTACTAGCAATAAGGTCCACCTGGGGCAGGATGTTAACGGGGCGGGTTTGGCACATGTAGAATATTCTTTCTCCATTTTCATTTTTTATATTATATAAATTCATGTATTTATACACCCTGGATATTTAAATTCATTCAATTCTATTTTTATCTTCTGAAAATTTTAATAAAAATAAAAACTTATAATTTATTTTTAAAATATTTTTATTTTTATCTTACAAATTTAATATCACAACAAAATCAATAAATGATAAACTAAAGAATTTTTAAGAAATAAAGAGAAAGAGATAATATTAGTTCCACCAAGTCTAAAAAAGTACAAAAACATATAACAGGTAACCTTAAAAGCTAATCTATTCCATATATTAAAAACTATCCTCAATATATAATATATAGGACAACTAAACAATGTAAAAAATAATAATAATAATTGAGGGATAATTTCGGAAAGTAATTCTTCTCCAGAAGCTTCTCCCAGCTTCTCATTGCCACTTTGTTTATTGTTCTTCTCTACAACTTGTTTGCTTGCACAATCCTCCACAATCTGCAGCCCCACCACCACCCAAATTACAAGATGTAATAAACAAAAATTTTGGTAATACTAATATTTGGTTTCCCAGGTTGGTGCATGGCATTAATTCTTCGATTTTGACCCTTCATGAATAAAAAAAAAAAAAACCAGAATGAGAATAAGAAGCAGAATTAGTCAGTTAGAAGATCTAAGAAATTAAATTTAAACCCACCAATTTCTTGCATGAGTCTTCTATTTCCACCTCTGACAAGCAAGGAAGCCTCCTGAAGGGTACAATGCATAGCTCATTGAGACATTTAGAATTTTAGAAGTATTGATCAGTTAAAATACAAGAAAAAAAAAAAAAAACTCACTTGGAAATGGTGAAGAACATTAGTTAGTTGAGAGAGGTGAGTTGAACCGGCGAGTTGAGTTGAGCTGAGCCGGAAGGAAAGAGTCAGAGTGAAATCTGAACCGGTAAATTTTTGTTAAGCTGTGTTTTATTATGCATGTTATTTTGTGGGTTTTAAACTGATTTGTCACTAACATACAATTCATGTTTGATGTACTATTCCAAGTTATGTTGATTTTTCTTAGACATTTCTTTATCCGTTTCAAATTATAAGTTTTTTTTTTTTACATCACCATTATTAATTTTAATTTAATGTGTTAAAAATCTATATTATCAGATTTGAGATAAGCGTTAAGAAACTAGGTGGATAATTTTGTGCATTTCCTTTTTAAGAGTGCCCATGTATCCTACAATCCTCTAAATCCACCAAGTATGTTTTTTGTTAAAGTGAATTATTTTACATTTAATAAATTTTTAATATTTTTTAATCTTATATTCAGATTAGATCTCTTTGTTTATTATCAATTAGTTTTGAGTTGGATACTTAACATGATATCAAAGCTTTATTTATTGTCAATTGATTTTGAATTAAATGTTTAACGTTTTTTAGAATTCATTAGTAATGTTCTTCTTGGATTTACTATATATTTTTGTTCTTTTGTTGAAATAATTACATTTTCTTTTTATCTTGGTACGTTGTTGCAAGTATATATATTCTCTGTGTTGCAATAATAGGTATATTTAAGTTTTAGTTTTGTATTTGCATTTGCATATATTAATTGAATTACACTAATTCTTTTTGTAGCAGGCTATACTCTTCTTTTGGATAATGATGAGAAGTCCCTTCGAAATAGAGGAAACCCAAATTACAAGTGCATATTTGAATTGTTTAATTTGTGTGTTTTGGTATATTTCCAGGGATATTATCAGAAAGGATGCATATTAGAGGCCATGGAAAGATATGATGTAAGTTCCTAGCTCCCTCCAAACTTTGATAAAGAGACGATGCTATTTGTTTATGATGCTGATATTCCAAATATTAAATTATTGTAGGCTCTAGCTGCCTTCCAAATAGCTTTGCAAGAAGAAGTATCAAGAAAAATTAAGAGGCTTTCCCATCTTGCAAAAGATAAAAAGAGAGCTCAAGAAGTGCAAAACTTGCGATCTAATATAGATATGGCAAAAAGCTTGGAAACACACATTTCAAAGTAAGCAACATGTCTAAGATCCAATAACAAAGAAAATACAAACTCATTTTACGCATGTGAATTGTGTCGAAATCTTTCAGGTACAAAAGAGTATGTTGCTTACTTTGAAAACCGTATTCAGATTGTAGAAGTTGAATTTAACAAGTTTAGTAGTTTAGTAGTTTACCTAGAAGATGAATGGCATTGAATAGTGCGACCTAGGGGATCTATTAATAGGAAGCGATCGATCAACAGTTTCTAGATGCTCATTTCATTGTAAAATTACAAACTGTCCAAAATTAGTATTTGGTATGGCAAACGAACAATACCATGTTCTTGGGCTTTGGTGGTGCTATATTCGGATATTTTTATGCACTGTGGTGGTATCATTCTATAGGCCAAATTGATCTAATCCTTTACTTGCAGTGCTGCTACATGTTGAGCATTCACTGATGCATGCATTAGCCAATTGTTTCGTATTTTCATTGAATGTTCTAACTATAACTGCAATAATATATCTGTTTGTTTTAGCATTATGTGATATACGAATGTTGTATATAGTCTAATATTTGCAAAGATTATCCTTAAGAAATCCCGAACAAGCGTCTATGCCTTGGATCAATCTTTGGAGTCTATACTGGCATCCTTTGCTCCTATAGTTGGGATTTTGGCTCAGCGTGTTTACGCTTATAAACCAATATCCAAACGATCATCCGATTCCATGGAGATGGAGACCGATAGAGAGAATGCTGCATCACTTGCTACGGCACTTTACACAGCGACTGCCATTCCAATGACAATCTGTTGCCTCATTTACTCATTCCTTTATTGCACATATCCAAGAGACCGGGAGAAAACAAGAATGCAAGCATTGATAGAATCAGAAATGCAACAAGAGGAAACTTATTCTCTATCAAGTGGCAAACAATCCGAATTTCATGCTGAAAACTCAAAAGATCTGGATGGCAAGGAAAGAAGTGAAGTTTATATAGAGCTTGAAGGGGAGGAGAGCCTCGATTTCGATGATAATGATGAGAAGTCCCTTCTGAATCATCACCAGTTTGACTGTCGAAGTTAGAAGGAAGATGAACACGCTAGGTGGAAGTTGAGCTTGGTTTGATAGTAATTTTGGGTTGCTTACTTTGGTCTGCTTACTTTTTTGGGTTTCCAGAGTTTGGTTTGATAGTAATTTTGGTTTGTGTAACAGTCTGGAATCTTCACTCATTGATTTTAAGCTAGAGAGATTGACTGATTATACAGATGCACAGGATGGCAAATTTTTGAAGGAAACTTCTGTTGTTTCTTCAGTTTGTCCAGCTTTGATGGTGAAGAAAACTCGAACGACAAGCTCAAATTTTCATACTCCTTGCTGTCAAGTTTTGGTTGTAACAAGGATCTTAGCTCTTCCCAAAGATTACTACAAGAGGCATAAGGTTTGTGAGGCTCACTCTAAGACTACCAAAGTCATTGTTAATGGAATTGAACAGAGATTCTGTCAGCAGTGTAGCAGGTTGGTTTTTTTTTTTCTTCTTTTTTACACTCTTTTGCCCTTCAATTTGATCTAATTTGTATGTGAAATTTTCTCCCCTATTGTTGATATCGATTTTGGAAGAAGTAATTGGTGATAAGATATAAAGGATTAATTTTAACAAATGAAAGGAGCTTGCCCATGTTCATAGGGATACTCAAAGTTTCAAAGGAGGCAATGAAACCAATTCAGAAAAGTCGCCTAGAAAGCAAATGAATTAGTACGGGTGTTACCTTTACAATTGTCCTGTCTTTCAGCATGCATGTAGATTTGTTTCATGCAGACTATTTTTTTTTTTTGGGAGAAAATAGAGTTGTTTTATATCATTTTAATTTTTCAATGCTTTATTTTTAATTTCATTATCATTTTAAATGTTTTTATATATTTATAAATTAATTTAATCAAATGTTAATAATAGACACGGAGTAAAGCCCGCGCATTCTTCTAGTTATTAAAAAAATTATATTATTAAATAAAAATTTATTTAGTAAATATATATTGACTAAAAATTTATATAAAATATAATATATAAAATATGAGTACGAGATAAATATTATATCATTTATTTTTATTTTTGTAATAATATATAAGATATGAATATGAGACGAATATCATATGCATTTATATTATATTATTCAACAAAAGTTTTAAAAATATATTATCTTTATTTTTATCTTCAAATTTTAATATTTATTTTTAATTAAATTTTATTCATATAAAAAATCGAATTCCTAATAAACTTGAATAAGATTAACTTTACTGAGGCAGGCAACTAAGTGTTTGGTGAGGTATAATCTTATCAAATCTGTCTAGGCTTTTACTTTGCTGGCACCTCATTAACTTCTTTTACGAAGTATTAGATAGATACGATAATTCATATTAATATTATATAAAATATTAATAATTTATGTTTTCATATCATGTTTAATATAAAAATAATATATCATAATTTATATCAATATAAAAATATTAAGTATATATTTTTTTATTTTATTAAATTTATTTATAATTTTTATTAAAATTTTAAATCATAGTATTTTTATATCTTTTATTTATATTTTATCAAGGCGCCACATTAACTTCTTCCAATCAGTGGAAATGCTCAAGTTATCTATCTCGGCCCAGGCAGCCAGGCTTTGATTGACTTTGTCCAAACCCAACTAGTTATTGGTCGAGCTAAAATTTTCCAATGGAAGTCCATCT